GTAAAAGTAAAAAATTATGTTCGTTTATTAATTAATTAACAAATTAATTAACGAATATTCTTAAAATGTTATTTATTTAATCAAATACAATAATAAAAAAACTAAATAAATGTGTATTATTAATAACAAATAGTGATCAGTCATCACATAAATAAATGAATAAATAAATAAATTAATTTATTTATTTCTTTATTATTTATTTATTCATGTGATGACTGATCACTATTTTTTTATTAATATTATAAATGTATTTATTTTTTATAGTATTTATAGTAATCAGTCATCACATGAATAAATAAATATTAGTTAATTAATTAATTTAATTAATTATTTTATTTATTTATTTATTTATTTATTAATGTGATGACTGATCACTATTTGTTAATATTATAAATTTATTTAATTTTTATTATTGTATTTATAGTGATCAGTCATGACATGAGTAAATAAATAAATTAGTTTATTTATTTATTTATTCATGTGATGACTGATCACTATTTGTTATTAATATTGTAAATTTATTTATTTTTTATTGTTGTATTTGATTAAATGAATAACATTTTAAGAATATTCGTTGCAGTGTTTCCCCTAGGTGTACAGTTTTGGGCAGTCAATAACTAATTGAACTTACCAACCGTTTGTGAATTATAAATTAACATTTATTTTATACCTTTTTGATTCACAAACTGTGCAGCTTTTGTCAGTGCAGTGTATCTTTATTAGCTACTGGAAGAACTTTTCTTGAGCCTCTTGGTATGGAAAGTCAGAAATGTTTGTGGCCCGTTTATTGATATTTATTAAACATGTCTCTCATAAAAATGTAGATATGAACGTGTCATGGCCAGAAGCAGCTTTACAGAAAATAATTTAGCCATTCATTTTACTGAGCTTAGTGCCTTATTTATCAGGGGTCACCAAAGCAGAATGAACCGCCACAGAACTATGACAAACAATGCAATATGGAAACATTGCAAATGATGAAAGATGATAATTAGTTAAAATGCACATCTATAAATCTAATACTTTAGTAAACACAAATAGGCCTATAAACTACTTTTTATAGCAATGATTGTATTATAAGAAGTTATATTATTGAATATTTACGTTAGTTGTCTAATAATTCCAGACAGCTTTTAGTGAATTTGTAATATTGTATAAAACAGAACTTTGTTAAAAAAAAAAAAAAAAAAAAAAAAAAAAAGGCCTAAATACATGCAGGACCATTCCAATATTTTGCTCGTCTCCAACTATTGACAGCAGCTACCTTAATAAGAGAGAAGGGGATTTGGACTTGATATCTTTACTGCTCTATTTATTTCACCTATCAAATGTAATAATAGACCAAGGGTGGGCAAACTCAGTCCTGGAGGGCCGGTGTCTTGGATAGTTTAGCTACAACTTTTTCATGTTTCATTTTTTAAGCACCTGTACCTCCTCTCCTTAAGCTTCATCATTTATAGATCGTAAATATTTATTCTTTCACTAAACAAATTTTTTTTCACTTTGGGGAATAAATCCAATTGTAGTTATCATCAGTTTTCAGTTATTCTTTCTCCATTCTCTTGTTACACACACACACACACACACACACACACACACACACACACACCATGGGCCCTATCATACACCTGGCGCAATAAGGTGCAAGACGTGTGTGGCGTGATGTTGCTATTTTCAGACCAACGCAACCCTAATTTTGTCGTTATCTAATTTATTTGTTTGCTGGAGATTAGAACTGAATTTAGTAATAGTTTTGAAAGAAATCTTTGTGCTTAACAAACAAAATAAATATGTTAACTAATGGATGTCTTCAGTGGAGTGCGTACAACACCGTTTCCTTATCCACGAAAGGAAAGGAGTAAAGAGAAAGAGGCTGAATGGAGGAGGCTCATTCTTTATCCTCGTGCTGCAGATGCTCTGTTCATCTGTTTTCTCACTAGTGAAGTTTTTTCATTCAGTTTTTCAACTTACAAAGTCCGCCATGTAAATAGCAAATGCTCCACAATGCGACACAACTGGGAATGTGAGAAGAGACTCTGATTGGTTTAATGCACATTATACTCAAAACATACCCAGAACTCATGAAGAGAATAAGCACAACCCTGTTAGACCATGCTGCATTTTTCCATACTTTAAAATAGCAAAAGTGGATTCGGACACGCCCTTAATGCTTTTGTGCCATGAGTTTTAGACTTTGCACCTAGACCATTTTAAATAGAGCCCAAATCTATTATGTTATGTCAAAATTAGGAATGGGCTGGTATAAGACTGTATGATAACCTTAGATAAAATTATCGTGGTATCCAACTATTGTGATTACTACTCCAAAATACAGTTTTTTAAATGTCTGGATAAAAAAACTAACATTTTTCCCCTTTGAAAACAATATATTTTATTTTTTTAAAGATGTATAATATTTTGGAACAGTAAACATATCAAATGAATCATTGACTTCTGCTGTCTTCATTAGTTTCAAAAACACAGATTTCTTTGCAATTTGAAACAACATTTTTGGATATTTGTTTTTCTGCCTGAGATAATGTTGTCCTAAAAAACAAAAACAAAAAAAAAATAAAAAATAAAAAATCTTACACATCTCATTCTGCAAACGTAGCCCTGCAGACGTTTCTGGAGGCCGCGAAATACGTCCCGGGAGGTATGTATTTGTGCAGTTTTTGTTTTCGCGAATCCGCCGATCCGTTTTCGCGAATCCGATTTCTGCGTGCTTTTTTGCATCTTGAACGCCTCTCGCGGGCGCAAACTGTTCTCGCTGCCGGAGGCTGCTGTCGAGCGACCGTCTGTCTGACTGACTGACTGACTGACTGACTGACTGACTGACTGACTGACTGACTGACTGACTGACTGACTGACTGAATGACTGAACAATTGACTAGGCGGCTGGTTTATCGGCAGACCCAGCCACCCTCCTCCTTCTCCTTCCCTAAACCCAAGTGACGATTTACAAAAGCAGTCTAGAAAAAGCCCTCGTCCAATTTTGACCACTTTGTCGGATTTCACCACATTCTCGTCCCGTGATGAACTTGTTCACTTTATTTTTTTGGATTCTGTTTTTTGTCTTACCTGATTTCTGGAACTGCTATTCCCCGAACTTAAACTCGGTCATCTTATAAGGAAAGTACTTTGATGGACATTTTTAAAAATGTAACACCTGGAAGAGTTTTAATTTTTTTTTAATCAAAAATAGAGCTGAAATATCATATATAACTTTAAATAATTTTTTTGTGTGAATTCTATCTATTTCTATTTTCTACATTTTTCTAAGTAACTTTTTTAGTGTAATACGAATGAGTTTTTTTATCATGTAATATTTTAATGTATATCCATTTGGCCATGAAATAGCCATAAGTTGCTGATGTGGCAATAAATATGTAATAAATAAACTCGGTCATCGCTGCGGCCGGCTCCTCCTCTGGGCCTCTGCTCCACCAACGTAACACAGCGAGCTAACTGGACAAACTGGTTGCGGCGGGAAAGCCCTCCACATGGAGGTGAGCCATCAGCCGGCGAACGTGATGAGGAGCGGCATCATACCGCCCCGTAGTGTTCGCTTGGAAAAAAAAGAAATGCAGCCATGCGTACCTCCGGCCACGTAAAACGCGGTCTCCAGAAACATCCGTGGGGCTACGTTTTCAGGATAAGCTTGGGTTGGGAACGGTATTACAGAAAAGTTTGGCATACCTTGAAAACAGTTATCGTCCCATAGTCAAAATACCCTTAGTTTATTAATAACATCTAAAGGACGTTACATTAATTTTAATTGATGTTAAAATTATTTATATGCGTGACATTCACTAAAGCACAGCCTAACATCAAACCCTGTAAAAGTACAGAGGTGCAAAATACCACAGTAAAACTGCTTTTTCCAGGAGACATTTATAGAGGATGAAATATAAAGCCTTGCTTTTTTTTGTCTCCACTGTTCATTTGTAGTTGAGCACCTCATTGAGATCTGTGATAGACGAGCTGTTGGGATGAATTGGAGAATGTGTGTCTCCATTAGCACAGAAGAGGCACTAATAGTTCCTCTGTGTGGGATGATCCACCTCCGGGTTGGTTCCCATTTAGGGAGTTCTCTCTGGTGTTAAACCTATATGTCATGTTGTACTGCATGCTTGAGATCCCTCTCTGTCATTATGGGCTGTTAAAAGGCCTTTTCTGATGGATCTGACACACATTTGTGGGAACACTCACTTCTGGAATTATCTCTCTGCTGCTCTGGATTTAAAGTTTTGAGTAAAAAGCTGCTTTTGGTTTGTTATGGAAACTACTGACAACTCTTCTACAAAATTTCAAAGAAAAATATATAATTTAGAGGAGCATAACATGACAATTGGTTAGATTTAGGATCTTTTGACAGTTTTAATACAACACAATACCATTATATTTTTTTTAACCAATTTTCAGTCTTTTCTGGATTTTGTAAGTCCAGTGATACTTGAGATAAAAAAGTGTATATATATATATATATATATATATATATATATATATATATATATATATATATATATATATATATATATATATATATATATATATATACATACATACATACATACATACATACATACATATGACTTTTTTCGCATTGTTATTATGGAACTATTATGGTTATTATGTAATTTTTTTTTCACAGCATTATTTTGTTTATTTTCACAGTAAAACACAAGAATTGAACCAAATAATGCTGTAAGTTTTGAGAAAAGTATCACAAAAGCGTTTTTATGTTGCATATTTAAAAAAAACAAATCTAGGAGGATCTTAACTAATTGTTGTTTTTTTTTAATGAAAAACTGTGGATATCAAAAGCACTGTATACATGTTATATAGCAGCATAACATGAAAGTTTGTTAAATTTAAAATGCTTGCTTTTGAGAATTTTTAGACAACACAATACCTTTTTCAACCAATTTTTAGTCTTTTCGGGAATAAAACATTTTGTGCAGCATAAAACATTTTTTACAGCAAAACACAAGAATCAGAGCTGCTGCAAGTTTGGTGAAAAACATCCCGAAACCGTCATTTTAGGCTGCAAAAATAATAAAAGTCTTATTTATTTTTAGATAACACTATACCAATGTTTTACATAATATTCTTGTTACAAAATGCATATTTTGTTGAATAATCCTGATGTTTCCATCACAACAAAATAAAACGTTTGCTATTTTGACCAGTTTCTTAAATTTAGTAGTAATTCAATACAAAAAGTAAATATTAATATTTTACTTAAGCATGTTTAATCCAGAGAAACTGAGAATTTTTAAGCATTTATTTTTTTAATAGCCAAACATAAATATTTTTATTTGAAGTTACAAATGTGTATAATAGAAGCTCCATCCATCCATCCATCTATCCATCCAAAATAATTTAGATTTTTAATCACAACAAAAAGAAACATTTGTTATTTTGTCCAATTGTCATTTTTAGAAAAAATAAAACAATTTTTATTAAAAATGTAGCAATAATATGAAATATAATAGAAAAATCAAATCTTCATATTTTACTCAGACATGTCTATATTTAATGAATGCCAAAAAACTGAGAATTTTAAATTTGTCTCCTGATGTTTCTCCATGATTTTATGTTATTATAATTCATATAATTAAATAAGAAATAAGAATTATAGAAGCACTCTTTAAAGAAGTTTTTATTTATTTATTTATTTATTTATTTTTTAAGAACCTTTGATATAATACACTTTTGCCACACATTGCAGCTCATGTTCTGTGGGTCATATTTCCATAACAAAACATCAGCCAGAAATTGTAAAGCAGGACATTCGAATATTTTATGCAGACCTCAAAAAAAAAAAAAAAAAAAAAAAAAAAAAAAAAAAAAAATATATATATATATATATATATATATATATATATAAATTACACAATTTTTTTATTTTTTTTTTAAATACCTGAAATGACATGGGCTTCTCTCAAAAGATAAGACAATGTATTTTATATTCTTTTTTATAGTCTTTATTATTTTATATAGTCTTTTATATTATATATTAAACAGATATATTTATTAAAATAATATTTTAGTCACCAAACACTTACAAATTGAAAGATAAAACAAAATATTGCAAAGAATAAATTACAACCTACAGAATTTGAACAAAAAATGTCATTTAGTTGCTTCTCTTGATTGTTCCTCTTTTATTTATTTATTTTTTTTATTTATATTTAATATTTTTTCATAAAATAAATTTGGCTGTACTAGTTTTTTGACCATTATCGTAAGTTATTTTGTTTGATAAGTTTCAGATTTGGCTTCAGTGCTGACTAATCTACTGTAAATGCACAAATATATAATAATAAATAAACAAAAATATTGTATAGCTTCCTATTAAAATATGAATTTAAAAGAGAGATTAGTGAGGGGTGTACTTGTATATGTTGAGCACTATACATTCTCTTTAGCGTCTTGTTATATTGCACGCTCGAGGTCCTCTTACTGCCATTATAAGCTGTTAAAAGGTCTTTTCTATTGGATCTGACACATATTTGTGTAAATCCTCAGTTCCGGCTTCATCTCTGTGCTGGTGACCTGTGACTCTGCTCTGGGTGATTTCCAGTGCACATTTTAGTCAAAACATTGTCCTTTCGTTTTCCACTGAAGAGAAGAGTCTTGATGATCTTCACCTTTGCGAGTCGTTCAGGATATAAAAACACTTTGAATCAGGATCCCAGCTTAATGCTTCAGCAATTTCCTCAAGTAATGGTGTGATTACATAAAGATGTGAAAGCCAGAAATTTCCCCCTATTTTAAAGTCTTGTATGGTACATTATGTATTTCCTAATGGAAAATAATTGTAGTTTTCCACCTTGCAGTTTTTCCAGGTCTGTGAAGTTGTTTTATCTGTAGTGCGAGAGCGGGAAGATTCCACATTAAATTGTGAGGCTGACAGATGTTGGACATTTCCAGCATGACATCATCTACAAATGCAGTCTTAAAGGGAGCCTATTATGCCCATTTTTACATGATATAAAATAAGTAAGTGATGTCCCTAAACAGTGAAGTTTCAGCTCAAAATACCACACTGATGATGTTTTCTTTGAACTTGACCTTTTTAGGCTTTGATCAGATTTGGGCTGTTTTGGTGACTGTCGCTTTAAATGTGCCATAAATCATAACATGCCATTTTAAGATAACACTTGTTTTGTAATACTATTTTAAAATAGTATTGCAGGGTAGCGTTGTCACCATACAGAAATTTGAGACCAATCGGTGCTGAAATTATTAAAACGTTAGTTTCCCACTAACATTTGAGCATTTTCTTAAACACCAAAGATTTACATTTGCTAAATGCCAGAATAATGAGAATTTTTTTTTTAGATAATTTTTTATTAATTTCTAGTAGAGGTGTGAACCTATACTGGTCTCATGGTTCGGTTACGATTATCATGCCATCGATTCGATATCTCTGTGCATCACGGTGCATTGACGATGCTTTCCATACACAGTGCTATATTTTGGGGGGCGGCTATAACAAACTGTTTAAACACACAGACACACAGCACCACACTGTCTCTCATTCACACACACACACAAGCCCTCGCAATGTGTTTAGCTGGGAGAGCTCGCACTGAGCGGAGCAATGAAAAAATAAAGGAAAAAAAGAAGCACTTTTCCGACGGTCTCTTACTGAGAGCTCTACTCAGGGCGAGCTCTCCCTGCTAAACGCATATTGCGAAGGCTTAAACGGAGCAGTGCTCGTAATGTCGAGCAAAAAAAAAAGAAAAAGAGAAAAAAGAGAAAAAGACAGCTGTAAAACATAACCAGCTTTGTCTTTTTGTATGAAACACACTTTAGATCTTTTTAGGATGGTGTTCCTAGGCTTGTGCGCTTTCCCCTTTGTCCTCCAAATGTAACACTGGTCATTATGGCCAATCAGTTCAATCTTAGCTCCATCAGTCCACAGGACACGTCTCCAAAAATTAGTTATTTTCCCAGTGTAATTTAGCAAATTGTAATCTGCTTTGTTGTTGATTTTGGCTTATTGGTTTTCCCATGTTGTCACTCAAGGAAGCAGTGTGTTTGAGGTTTTCCCTAAATACTATTCTACAGTTGTGCCTCCAATTAACTCTAATGTTGTCAATTAGCCAATCAGAAACTTCCAAAGCCTTGACATCATCATCTGAGCCTTTTCAGGGGCAGAATAATCTTATTGTATGTAAACTTGACTTTCAAGAAAAGTTATAACAATTCCTCAAAAAAATCTCTCTCTTATTTTTCCGCTATAACATATTTGATAATCCTAACTTACCTAAAAGAGAAAAAGTTTAGTCATATTAACATCTGACTTTTTTTTATTATGGTTATGTGCCTTTTATACAGTGTATATAAAATTCTGGTTTCAACTTTATGACCGGTATTTGTTTGTGAAAGTCATCAGTTCACTGAATCAACTTATCTTCATGACTTAGATATGCTCCATTATCCCTGTATCTGTGGTTACACTCGGTAAACAGCAGTTAGTTTTTGGTGAACTGATGACCTTCAGGGCCAATCACAGTCATTTCTGTTGAGCATGGAAACACAATGGCAAATCAGCGCTGTTTAAGAACTTGCTCAACAGCGCTCAAATATTAGCGGGAAATAGACTTTAAGATTTCAGTACCGATTGGTATCATTCCAGTATCGTTACGCTATTGCAGGGTAAAGTGAGGGACATTTTAGCTCTTAGAAAATCTAAACATCACAATAGCTTTAAACGCATTTAAAATGTATAAGAATGTCCTGTAACGGAGAACATTTGGCCTGTGTCATGTGAAAATTCTGTAAAAAATTACTGTGCCAGGCGATTCAATTGTTATCACTCGATTGAATGGGCGTTATTAGTGGTTATCAGCTAATACATATGGGCCAGTAGTAGGTGCAGAATGCTGGAATCATTCATTCTGAATAAGCTAATGTCTAATGTAAACTAATGTGCTAATGTGTATGACGTGTGCCCACTCTGGCTGTCGAAAAGCTCAATTACGGGTGCGTTTCAGCTCTATTCAGCAGACCATCATCTGACTGATTACAGGTAGTTGACCAGACAAATGGCCTCAGTATTTGAGCCTTGAGTCGAGGCCAGGACTGTGAAATCCATGCTTGCACACAGTTTTCACAGCTCGCTCACTCTCCGTTTCGGCTTGTGCTGGAATGTTGATTTTGGAGGGTTTGGTGAAAAGTAACACTCTTGAGAAAGCAGCGTCGCTCTGTTCTGCCTGAAACTGACATGCCTTCTAAACTCATGGAGTACGTCTACATGGACACCAATACTCTAAGCTTTTCACTCATCATAGCACACGTGCTGCTGATGATATGACTATAAAAGTGATTTGATTTGATGCTCAGATTTTGACATAAGTTTGTTACAAGCTGCCAAAGACTTACTCACCATTGTGAACTGTATGCCAAAGCTGAGTGGCCTTCTCTGTATATAAGAAGGTACATTCACTGGATGACTCTGGTCTACAAGGCTCTTCTGGGACTGGTGCCTTCATACTGATGTTCCCTTCTCCATAAGTCTAAAAGCCAGTATGCCCTACGCTCAAGTGAATCTTATCATTTGACTGTTCCTCGGGTTCGAACTGATATAGGGAAGCGAGCCTTTAGTCATGCCGCCCCCTCATCCTGGAATACTCTTCAGTCTGAACTAAAGATATCTGAGCTCATCCCAATGACATCGTTTCGCTCTATCAGTTTTAACAAACAACAGTCCATTTCTCAATGTATGTGTTTTTAATATATCGAAATGTGGTAAAGCTGGAAAACTGAACTGTATTTTTATATTATATACATTTTATATTTATTACTAATATTATTACAATTTTATTTTATTTTTTTATAGAAATCGTGTGTTGCAGACCTCTTGGCCAGGTCACCCTTGTAAATGAGATCTCGATCTCAATGGGTTTTTATCTGGTTCAATAAAGAAACGTACTGTATATATGATTGAAACAATACTCTGATTAAGAGCCTCTCATGTAAACAGAGATTTTCGATGACATAATCTAACTAAAGTCATAATCGAACTAAACAGATGGAATTTAGACATGTGCAGTATGCAGATTTTTTTGCATTATTGAAGTGCAGTACAGAAATGTAAATACTGCAGTCAAACCATTACCATTGTGTAGGATTTTCGCCGCATTTTGCTATGGGATATTCCATACACACACGGCTGTTTGACACTATTGTCTGCACCTACCGCGTCAGTGAAGGACCACAGACACCTGCATGACATAGTGCTGAGTTTTTCCCCCCATTCGGTGTGCGGTATCAAATTCCATTAAAACAACACTCTTCCAGCAGTTAACACCAAGGTTATAATAGTTTTGGATTTTTCTTTAGCTTTAGTTTTTATTTCGTTTTGACTCATTGTTTTCAAATTCAGTCAGTTTTAATTACTTTTAGAGACAGATTTAAAAGTTTTATTAGTTTCTATATTTTAGAACGACTAAGTTTTAGTTTAGTTTTTATTAGTTTCAGTATTAGTTTTACTTTTTTTTATTTTTTTTTCTAAATGAGGATATTTGTTAGGTGCAAGATTCTAAATCAACAGAATAAAAATTGTATAATAAAAACTCAGCCATACACTTTTTTTAAACCGGTATTAAGAGGTGTTACGACCCCAGTCACAACATTAAATGAGGGAAAAACACAAATGGACAGTCTAGGGGTTTTATTAATTAAACAATCAAATATAAATAAAGTGTGGGGGGAAACACAATAAACACAGGCTGAGAACAAAGGAGCACAACTCCACGTCTGGACGGCCGCTCAAATCCCCGTCTCTGAATTACTGCAGCGCGAGCTCTTAAATTGCCGACGATGAATTGTCTGCAGGTGCGGAGGAAATCAACTCTAAATGAAAACACAACCAGCAACACAACACAAGAGGGCGACAAAGTACAAATGAATAAATAAATACATGGACATGTAACAAGAGGACACATGAACACTATCATCTCTGCCATCTATCCATTCTCAAACTGAAATACAACAGCCCACAAGATAGCAGCCCTAAGTACAATATGTGTGCAAGGCTGCTTCTGAGGTTAGATACACAGTAGTGATGGAAAGTTCATATTTTTAACGCAGATGTTAGGACTCAACAGTATGTAGTCAGCAATGGTTATTTCAGTCAGTTAAAACATTACCATGATCTGAAAAATGTCTTACAGTAATGTTTTGTAAAGCAACTGAATCATGATTCACTTAAATGAATTATATTTTGATCGTCTGTTATGAAATAAACTTACGTTTTTCACCAGATCAACTCATCCTCGGTTTACCTGCGCTGCAGTTGTTCAAGTTTAGTTCAGTCACAGCAGGCTGTCATGTACTGTTTGTGTTTGGTTCACTGAATCGCGCATGCACAGTATTATCGGTTCACCGCTTCTCAAATTTGATCTCAGTGTAACGCTACTGTTCTAATAACTGAATAAAAGTTAATATTGAATTATTTAGGCTGGTTATAAAGTAAGTAGTTGGTGGATAAGTGCTTACTGGAGACGCGAATCGTTTCAAATGATTCAGTTCAATTTGCTGAACTAGTTTAACCAGTTCACTTAGAAGATTTATTAGACTATTAGTTCGTGATGCAAAAAATAAAACCCATTATTGGGCACAAATGTGTTAAAGTAATAGTTTAAAGTCTCTGTATTTAATGCTGTCACCATGCTGCTGTGATGTCCACTTGTTGTTTTTGTCGTGGGAGCAACAGCGAGGATGACTGCAGGAGAACTGGCTCGATCTGGCCAATGGCAGCAGAACTACAGACTTTGAGAGTGCCGCACGGGTCAAACAGTGAGCAGTGAGATTATGTATTAAACACATTCACAAATATGAAAACAAAGGAGGTTTTTGCTATAGTTTTAGCTTCAGTTTTGTATGTACAAAATACAGTTTCAGTTAGTTCTAGTTTATTTTAAAAACTCTCGTTTTTATTTTTATTGCAGTTACCGGCAATTATTTTACATTTTTAGTTTTTGTTTTTTCGTTCGTTTTTGGTAACTATAATAGCCTTGGTTAACACTCGCATCCAATACAGGAGAGTACATGATAATCAAATGCATGAAATGTTTCTGAATGAAAGTGTCAAACTGCAGTTAAAGTCGACAAATTAAAAATAAAACATCCGAAATTCCATGAAACACCAGTGGAAATGTGGAAAGCGTAATGATGCAATGACACTAATCGATCTATGTGCTATAACATGTAAAACGGGATCATGACAGGAACATTCAAAAAGCAACTCGGGTAAACACCCTAGTCATATTATTCAGATTAAGGCAAATAATTCCATTACTGATGCATTTTTAAACAGTGTTTCCTTCAGCATTGGCATTTTATTACGTTTTTTACAACAACAAGTGCAAGGGCAGCAAAATCACACTGTAATTCACAAAGACTTGTAGAAACCATACTAGAATGAAATGTACACTGTTGAGTTTTTGGTTGCCGTGGTTGAGGGTGTGGAGGGATGCTGTGGAGATGCACATCCTCCATTGCTCCCTGCAGGCTGGGCAGTGCCAAAACCACACCACCTCCCTCTATTAATGCTGATTTAATGCTGCACTGCACTTTATTGTGGCTTACTAGACAGGAGGTGCATGGATGCTTTGAAGGCAGGACACAGTGTAACATTGAACTGGAACGAGGTCAGACTCGCCTTTGAGCTCACATGGATTGAATGGCATTAAAGGGCAAGACCAAACATAACATCATTCATCTGATTGAATACTTTGGGGATGAAAGACTGAGGTTAACCATGCATTAGGCACGTTTCTTTGGTGTATCATTGGCTTGACTGAAACTATAAAAATGTGTAATATGGGTCTGATTGATTGTTTTGCACTTTAAAAGTAAAAAAGTGAGGTTATGGTTTATTGTTTAAGATACTCATTAGCCATTACCAACATAGTGGCTGTTTGTCATGGGGTTCAACAAATAAATGGACAGATTTACATTCCGTCGTCATCAATCAATAACAAAAAATCAAATTTACAATGAAATAAAGCAATAGAAACAATACCAAAACCAAATAAAAAGACACATTTACACAACCATAATAGACGCCAATACCAAAACTAAATAAAGACCCATTTACATTAAACAAGACTCTACAGACTTACTTGTTGCATTGGTGTGCCTACATTTTTGCTTGCATCGCATTTAAAACTGCAAGATCACTTTAAAAAAAAAAAAGATATCTATCCACAGGGATTCAAAGATTATAGATTTTGGGTGTGCGGTTATAGTCTGAGGAATAATCTGGCCTATCACAATTATTATGCATTCATTAATTTCAAAACACTGCTAATTTAGAAAATCACATGAAAACTCCTTATATTTTAAAGGGTTGTTTATTTCTGCTTATTAACCAAATAATGCAACACAAAATGATAATAAAAAGCAAACAACAGTCTAATTCTCTTTGAGCTTAAAAATGAGTGAAAAAAAGTTTTGGCATTTAAACATAATAATTTTACACTGAAAATAATGGCAATAAATAAAAATTATAAAATGTAAACAAATAAATAAAATATATATTTTTAAATAAATAAAAATAATTAATTTTAAATAAATAAATAAAATAAATTACAATAAATAAATGACTTGTAGATAAATAAAAAATAAATAAATATATAATATTTTTAAGAAAATAATTAAATAAATAAATAAATATATATTTTAAATAAATTAAAATAAATAAATAAAATTTAAATAAAATAATTAAAATCAAATAAATGAATAAATAAGTAGTCTTTGTTCAATGTAAATCTAAGTGACAGAATAGCTAAGCATTTTCCTTTTACAGCGATGAAATGTATTCACAGGCTGCTGAACCTTTTAATCAACTATATAACAAAATTGTTTGTTATTTTTCATTTTGTATTTTTCATTTGTATTTTTTTCTCAGTGTAGGCCGCTCGCGGCATTCTTTCAACTAGATGGTGCGTCTAGAAAGTTCGAGTCTGTCGCTCTATATATGCAAGTCCCGCGCCTCCATTGGAAATAACAAATTTGTGCATGCAAAAGACGCGATTTAAGACTGGCCCTTAGTGAATAGCCTCAGCCATAGTTAATACAGTGCATGGTGTACAAGCTCAGAACTTTAAACTAGCATTTAGTTGGCATAACTTTAAGTTCCATGCAGAAACACGGTGTTGAGAAGCATTTACAATTAATTAACCGTGACGAATTAAATCGTGGTTAATAGTGAAATCGGGTAATTGTTAACCTAATCCACATTGACTTTTAAATGATTACCTAAAAATCTAGGGTGCATTTCCGAAAACCATCGTTAGCCAAATAAGGTCGTAAGTTGTGTCATTAAAAACATAGTTTGTTGATATGGCATTTCTTTAATCCATTGTTTCAACGAACAGTCGCAAACTTCTATGATTGCAACTACACCTCTGGAGCTGTAGTTAGAAACACAGTTCCTGGCTGTGTTCTACTCCCACTTATTCCCCCCATATGCCCTATTAATGTAGAACATTCTAACATTTAAACTCGGAATGATTAAAAATAAAAAAAGCATTAAAGTCATCTCTCTTGGGTATAATTTGCTTTCAAACTATTTTTACAGTTCAGTTTTAGCGATCTTCATGTTTACAATTGTGCTCCCTTCACAGTGCACTTTGAAAACAATGTCATTTTGAATGCAACTGTCTCATGATGACACCTATAGGCCTATTATTTAAAAGCGGAATTTGTTACGTCTACAAAGTTTAATTTAATTTATAGTGGGTTATTTATTTAGTATCTGTACTGTATATGACATGGGCCAGTGAGGTAAAACATTTCTGCAGTGGTTTGCATGTGTCAAATTGTGGAAGTAGGCTTTTCAATAGTATTAATAATAATAATAATAGTTAATAATAATATTCATCATCATCATCATTAATATGATTTTTATTATTAAAGTAGGATTTTTTTCATTTCCTAATAATAAATATTACATTTCATTTCTCAATAAATTGCCTTTATTTATTTATTTATTTATTTATTTATTTATTTGTTTATTTATATGTGCTTCACATAGGTGAGTGGGCTTGACAAACCACCTGTGTAAGCTCTGTATGAGGCAAAGAAAGCATTCTTGCAGGACTCCTAGAGCTAAACAAAATACTTTGGATTCATCTTCAAGGCCTCCTCCATCATCTTACCCCAGACATGCTCAATAATGTTCATGTGTGGTGACTGGGCTACCCGGGATACCTCAGGCTGTTGATGTTGCCATCCAATCTGCAGATCTCTCGTACGCCCTCATGCTGACTGTAACCCCAAACCATGATTTCTCCTTGACCAAACTTGACTGATTTCTGTGAGAATCTTGGCTCCATGCGGGTTCCAGTAGGTCTTCTGCAGTATTTGTGATGATTTGGATGCAGCTTAACTGATGATTCATCTGAATAATCAACCTTCTGCCACTTTTTCAAATAATCAACTAGAAGTTTTTATTTGTTGCTCTTACAACTGGGATCAACAACAAGACTTTCGTCAGGTAGTGTAAATAAGGGTAATCAAACACCCCTGTAATTCTCCCCCTGAGTTTTTCTGTAAATTGTACATGTGCTGTAATTCAATTCAGTTAATAGAAAAGGAATGGAAAATGCTTAAAACGTTTCTTCAGTTCAGGAATGAGTCATAAATTGCCTCACCAGGAATTGAAATCTATTGTTCAGTTCTGATGTGTTTGCCATACAGTCTTGAAGTTTGCTTTGGTGTGTGATCTGGATCTTGGATTGAGGTCGGTCAGCATAGAAACGCCTGCGAACCCAGTACTGAGATGATCCAGATGTGGCTTTCTTTTCTTCAGCAACTTATTAATAGCTCTGGAAATGACAGGTTGGAGCAGAGAACCACGTGTCTGCGCTTGATTCGATAACCGGTTCGCTAACAGAATGAGACGTTTGGATGAAATGCAGATAGAGTGCTTCATGCATTCAGTATGTTGGTTTGGCTTACAGTGAGTTTACTAAATCAATGTATTTTTTGGGTGGAGGCAGACATTTTCAGAGATGGAGATGAGTTTACTGAATTAGAAATGGATGTTAAAGGATAACGAAACAGCAAAACACATTTTCTTCAGCTGTTGACAATTGTATTTGTGTCCCACACTGCTAAAAACACTATTAGGACACACATATTTCACAAAAAAAAGAAAATTTTTGCTTTATTTCAAGCAAATTCGTACTTCCAGTTTGAAACCAATTTTTCAAGCTTCGTCAAGGCCATGGGATCTTAGCCTGTATTCTAGCGTGTAGACTGGACGTCTGTACGGGGGAGTACCTTGTGACATCTCTGAGTGCGCTGCATTCATTCATTAGTAAAGGCTCGTGCACACGAGACGTTTTTTTGCTCGCGTTTTCCGTCGACGTTTAACGCCTTGCGACTAAATAACGGGCGTCAATGTGATCGCGCACACCAACGCGCAAAACACCAGGCGCAAAAGCGTCATTTTGAAAAAAACACCTCATGCTCGTTTTTTTGATTTGACGCGCCATGTCAAAACCTTCTCCACCAATCAGATCGGCACTTTTGTTCACGTGCACGGAGCTGCTGAAGTTACAGTAAACAGCACTTGGAGGCGCTCAAGCGCTAAACTGTCTATGCGAGCGCACATTGAAGAAGATTCCCAGAGGTGATATGAACGTGGAGCTGCTTATTGCACTGGTGAACAATCATTTCTTCATCGCTAGAGCTGGAGCTGCTGCTTGAACCATCCATGCTTGTTCGAGTCACCAGTAACTTTAACAACAAACGTCTGAACTTCCTCCTCTTCTTCTGTGTTATAAGCGGGTGTCAGAAGCTTAATGTTGTGGAGCGCCATCTAATGTCAAAAGAGTGATTTTGCATACTCTTCAGCTTGACGCCAGTGAAAAGTGCTTGGGTTTGAATTCTGAAAAACGTTTCTTAAAATGCTGATGATAAACGCAAACGAAAAGCAACCCGGTGTGTAGGAGCCTTAAGACTCGATTCAAACCAATCAGCGCGCTCTGTGTATGCGGTGCAACGTCATTAATATGCATGATATCGTTGAAGACTGTTTTTACCTGTTACAGTGTTCAGACAGCAGAGAGACGCTATGTTGTGTTGCCAAAACAAGCGGGAGAACATGAATTGTTTGGAGATACGGGTCATCAGTGTTGCTTTTATAATGTGCTTCAGTGAAGGTTTTGTTTTCATTTTCCCGCTATGAGAGTGCAGCTGGACTCACGAGTGGATTACAGTGCATGCGACGCTCGACAGAAATACGTGTCTAAGGAACATTTTTTTACCCGAGAGATTTTCTAATTTGGAAATGGTGAAATCCCAATTTGCTGCTCGTCTCCTTTTAATAAAGACAGCTCCAGTTGGTGTTGATGGTCCTGTCTCAACAGATTAGGTAACTGTGTGATCAGTGGTCTTTGTTTGTTTATTCCAAGGCAAAGTTAGTCCGTATCGTCAGCAGTACTCTTTCAGTGTTTAAAGACAGACC